AAATAGAGCGCTTTGTGCCAAGCACAGTCCCAGCCTATGGTCACAGGTACTGAGGAAATAGACCCTGCCCTTAAGGAGTTATGGTCCAGCAATAAAGTACCCATTATTCTCACTTAGAAAACAGTGAGGTTCCCATCTTAGAAAGATTTAGTATACTTATATTTGCTGCATAATATGCTGGAAATGTTACATCTAATTGACTGCAGATGAGTTCTATTTAGAAATATGTGTCGTGCCTTTTTCTTGTGAATTCAACTACTAGTTCTTAACAGTCCTTCCATTCCAAGTTTCTATCAACTGTAAGCAGACAAGAATGAAACACTCATACAAATTTTTCTTTAATTACCCATTAGAGATTACCCTCCGCAACTATAAGAAAAAGCATTGTATTAGTCAACTAAGGCTGCCATACCAAAGTACCAAAGACTAAGGGGCTTAATAAAAGTATTTTCTCGCAGTTCTAGAGATTAGAACAAGGTGCCATCAGGGTTGGTTTCTGGTGAAGGCTCTCTTCCTGGCTTGTAGACAGATGCCTTCTCTCTGTGTCCTCACATAGCCTTTCCTCTGTATGTGTGTGTTGGGAAGAAGGGGGATGTCTCTGGTGTCTCATCTTCTTATTAGAGGGACACCAGTTCTGTTGGATCTTTATGACCTAATGTAACCTTAATTACCTCCTCAAAGGCCCTATCTCCAAATATAGTTACATTGTGGATTAGGGCTTCAACATACAGATTTGAGTGGGACACAATTCCATCAATAGCAAGCATATTCCTATTGGAGCAATAAAGATTTTCCCATATTTCATTTTAATAGTTCTAAAAAGTACAAAGTCAGAAGAAGAGATTCAAAACAAACACATGGTTTAAAAAGTCATTATAATTAGTTGAAGATGATCATTGTTCATTACCATAGAAACTGTTACTATCTCCTTCCTTGGGATATTAATCAATCATCTATTTATTATAACATATTTAGTTAGCTCTGTAGTATTGAGTATGCCATTTGAATATTTATACCCTGCCTCGTTCCAAAGAGACTTCTTTAGTCTCCTTTATGATTGCAAGAATCCTACAGAGCAGACCCCTAAAAACCTACCGTAAAGTGTCACAATAAAACGTGTTATTTCTCTGCCCTTACCAAGTTCACAGTAAGTTGTTGTTCCAGTCCAGGTTAAATGTGAAGGTTGTCAAGGAAAACGCGTTGCTCTTGGTCTGGCACAGCACAGTCCTGCCATTTAAAAAGTCACGGCTAATAAGAGGCAGGGACTGAGAAGGAACAGTATATTGTAGCAATCATGTTGGCACGTCACTGCCAGTGATGTATCTTCAGCTAATGCTTTGATCAGATGTAGACTACTTTCATATAGGAGCAGTCTAATAATTTTGGAAAACAGAAATCAGAGTTCAACTTTATGCTTTGATTGAAAAGCTGATGATGAGAGTAAGATGAATTTACCTGGTATTCTTTATTAGAAAATTTAAATTTTATATTGTGACACAGTGGCTAAAAAAATTAATTTAAATGACTAATGCTCGAAAGGAAAAAAGTTGTTTAGCCTCCAAAGTGGCCCAGGATATAAGCCTGAGGAATAATATATAAGAAAAGCTATTTCTTTATCATGCTCAGAATAGTATGCAATGTGTTTTTTCTGTTTTTACCATCTATATAATAATCTAACACTTGCTATTGCTAGTTTATTCTTTATTTCATGCAGAATATCTAATGATGTTGGAATATACCAAATATAAAGTATATTCTAAGTATATTTAAATATAAAGTATATTTCCAACATATCTCCCCATCATTGAAAACCAACCTGAAATTTTAACCGAAAACCATTTGATAGTGTCTGAGAACAAAACTGTATGTTCATTTTGCAATCTAATTCCTATGTTAAATTTTTGTGATAATTTTAAGACTTTAGAAAGAAAGAGAAAAGAGGAATTAACATTATTGAGTGAAGGACTTCACTCGTTACCTTTTACAACCCCAACTTCACTGTGAAGTAGGTATTATGCCCTTTTTTACAGGTGAAGAAAATAAGATTCAAAGGAGTTAGGTAACCTGATAAAGTCTTACACAATTTTAAGTGATGGAGCTGGAAATTAAACCCAGTTCTTGGGAGAGGAGAAGCTAGAATCATAACCATTTGTTCCTTTTCATTTGTTTGAATTCAGAACTCACTATCCTATACCCCTTGAAGTAATAAAGGCAGAAAAAAATACAGGCCATTTCTCTGTCTTTTATAAACTAATGATCATTGTTCCCTCAGATGTTTTGTAATATCCGTTATGTTCAAAAAGCATCTAATAAATTATTCTACTAGTTTTGAAGAGATGGGGAGGAAAGGATTATCCAACAGTTTCATCTTTAAAATCAATCTTTTCCAACTATCTTAAAGGAAGATTCTCTTTTAAATGAGTTTTGTAAAGAAGAGTTTGTAATGCTTGTTGACTTAGCAGTCTTAACCAAGGAGACATGAAGAATGGACTTAAAACCATCAGGAGCTTGCTATAGTAGAAAATGTAACTTGCTCAGCAATAAGCGTCTCTTTGCACTGGGCCAGCACGCTATGTTTGGGCTGTGGGTCTCCTTGAAAGAAGGACATTCTTTCAAGTCACCTCCAAGTAACTGCTGCTTTTTTCCTTTCTGTTTGCACACACCCCTGCCAAGAAATACATACCATCTCACCCCACCAGGAAAAAAAAAAAAGGCAGATAAATAGATAGCACTACTGCAGTGTACTTTCTATTATAGGTGTGTGTGTGTGTGTGTGTGTGTGTGTGTGTGTGTGTGTGTGTGTGTATGTGTGTGTCCCTTGTTCAATTTTGGGCTCCCAGAGGCAGAGACTTTTCATTATATCTTTCCAAGGTAATATACATAAGGATATAGACAATATATGTCTGTTAAATTGGAAAAAAAAAAAAAGCATTCTTAGATTTCTTGCAAAGACTAGCTTTCTTCTCATCTCTGAAAGTTGTGCACCTCCTATGGAACAGGAATGAAATTCTGTACAGCCTGTCTCAGAATAATTGATCACCAAGACTGCTTCAAATCAGTACCCATACCATATACACATTTCATCACATCTTTTCAGGAGATTTCAAGAAATAACAGTTTATCCTTTATTTGTACCAGGAAGAATTATTTTATTCTAAGGATTTTGTGTATTTATATAGGAAGTATTAATGTTCCCAAACTGTCTCTTCTTGCCATATTTACAGGCACAAACTGTGGGGCTCCCAGTAGCCATGCATTCACCGAACATGCGACTGATGCGATCTGCCCTCCTCCCACAGGCATCCAATGTGGAGGCCTTTTCATTTCCAGCATCGGGCTGTCAGGGGGAAGCAGCATTTATGGAAGAAGAGTGTGTCGACACTCCAAAGGTACAGATGTGTTTGAGAGACAGAGCTTGCATGTTGCCTGGACACTTCGCTTTGGTCCACAGGTGTTGTACTTTGTTGAACTTTGTAATTTCCTCAAGTCACTCAAGAGCGTTGTTTTTGTGCACAAGAACCTAAGAAAAGTATTCAGGGCTAAACTCAGCTCTCATCGCCGTCTTAATACGACTGTTATGTAACTTGTCAGCCCTTATAGGTATTTTTCAAAATTCTTCTTTCTCTTTCCTTAACCAAATCCTCTCTTCAAGTTTCTAGATCCCTTTTAAGTTTTGGATATTTTTTAAAACAAATTATAATTCTGAAAGCAAAAATATAACTGTGGTGCTGAATTGGGCTTTGTCTCTGTTACTATTGCCTCTCTTCTGCTGCATGTGCTGCAAGTACACAGTGATGAGCCATCTTTTTTTGGTCAGTTAAACATCTTTTTTTGTCCAGTTTGGACATGCCTAAAGGAAATAAGTTTATCCTGGTGTATTGCAAAAAGTTGGCTTTTAGGATATGGAAGATGACAGCTTCTCTCATTTAATGGATATTTACTTCTGACATGTGTTTTAAATACTTAGCATCAAGTGATGTACAGAGGATCATATTAATGGGCAGGTCTTGGAACATATGTTTTGGTATGTGTTCAAAAATAGACTGTTCTTTACTAGCTCTGTGAACTCGGGCAAGGTGACTTCTTTGAACCTCTATTTTTCTCTTATGTAAAATGAGACTACCAGCTTTATGAGACTATTGTGAGGATTAATTGAGATAATGTGTGTGTTTCTGGCCAAATTGCAGATACATAGTAAATATTGGTTTCCTGTCTTTTTAGCCTCTTTAGGTAATAAAAAGATGAGTCAGACATGAATTCTGCCTCAAAGTTTATAGTCTAGCAGAAGAGACATGATGCATAAAGACAGTGTGCCAGGTGCTAAATAAATTGATAAAATATAATTCGTTCTGCCCACCCCCACACCCCCCTGCCTCCTCCCCTTTGGCAACCATCAGCTTGGACATGCCTAAAGGAAACAAGTTTATCCTGGTGTATTGCATAAAGTTGGCTTTTAGGATATGGAAGATGACAGTATCTGTGAGTTTTGTTTTGTTTTTTCATTTGTTTTGTTTTGTTTAGATTGCACGTGTAAGTGAAATCATATGGTATTTGTCTTTCTCTGACTTATTTCACTTACCATAATACCCTCTAGGTCCATCCATATTGTCACAAATGGCAAGATTTCATTCCTTTTTATTGTTCAGTAATAATCCATTGTGTATATATATTGCATCTTTTTATCCATCCATCAGTGAACACCTAGGTTGCTTACATATCTTGGCTATTGTAAATAATGCTGCAGTGAACATAGAGGTGCATATGTCTTTTCAAATTAATGTTTTTGTCTCTTTTGGATAAATACCCAGAAGTAATATTGCCGAGTCATATGGCAGCTCTATTTTTAATTTTTTAAGGAATCTTCATACTGTTTTCCATAGTGGCTGCACCAATTTACAATCCCACCAACAGTGTACAAGGGTTCTCTTTACTCCACATCCTCACTAGCGCATGTTATTTGTTGATTTTTGATGATAGCCATTCTAACAGGTGTGAGATGGTATCTCATGTGGTTTTGATTTGCATTTCCCCAATGATTAGTGATATTGAGAATGTTTTCATGTTGCTGTTGGCCATCTGTATGTCTTCTTTGGAGAAACATCTATTCAAGTCCTCTGCCCATTTTTTAATTGGATTGTGTGTTTTTTGATATTAAGCTGTATGAGTTCCTTGTATATTTTGGATATTTAACCCTTTATTGGATATATCATTTACAAACATCTTACCCCATTCGGTAGGTTGTCTTTTCATTCTTTGATGATTTCCTTCACTGTGCAAAAACTTTTTAATTTGATGTAATTTCATTTGTTTATTTTTTCTTTTGTTGCCCTTGCTCAAGGAGACATGTCCAAAAAGATACTGCTAAGACTAATGTCAAAGAGTTTACTGCCTGTGTTTTCTTCTAAAAGTTTCATTGTTTCGGGTCTTAACATTTAAATCTTTAATCCATTTTGAGTTTACATTTATATATGGTATAATAAAGTGGTCCAATTTCTTTTTATTACATGTATCTGTCCAGGTTTCCCAACATTATGTTAGGAAAACCGGACAGATATATGTAATAAAAACTATACCTCCTTTGTTATAGATTAATTGACCATATGAGTGAAGATTTATTTCTGAGCTCTCTGTTGTATTCTGTTGATCTCTTTATCTGTTTTTATGCTAATACATACTATTTTGATTATTGTAACTTTGTAGTATATTTTAATACCTTCTACTTTGTTCTTTCTCCAGCATTCTTTAGCTATGTGGGGTCTTTTGTGGTCCATATAAATTTTAGGATTAATTTTAAAATACTAATGCCGTTTATATTTTAATAGAGATTGTATTTAATCTGTATATCGCTTTAGGTAGTAAGGACATTTTAACAATATTAGTATTTCCAATCTATGTGCATGGTATATCCTTCCATTTATTTTTACCCTCTTCAGTTTCTTTCTTCAGTGTCTTATAGTTTTCAGAGTATAGTTCTTTCACTTCTTTGGTTAAATTTATTCCTAGGTATTATATGTTTTTCGATGCAATTGTAAATGCGATTAATTTCTTCTGATCATTATTGGTGTATAGAATAATTGATCCTTTAAAGAAATAGAAATCAAAGTGCTGAGAGACTGGAAGGAAGCAAGAGGGGAGTTGTTTTTAGCTAGCTTGATCAGGAAAGTCTGTGTTGGCTGTCAGAGCTGGGAATTGAGAGGTGGGCAGAATCTGGGTGAATGAAAACTAGGGTGTGATACCTCAGTGGAGGGAGGGAAAAGCCTAGGTCCATCTAAGTCAGAACAGTAGCTCAGTGTGCCTGAAGAGAGAGGGTATGAAGGAATGTTGTACAAAATAAAGATGAATAGCTTAGCTTTGAATGGCAAGCCAAAGACTGTAGGCTTTTTCTCTAGGCTAGGGTTCTCAGCGTGGAAATGTGTTTCAGTATCACCAAGAGAGATTTTTCAAATGGACTACTCCAAGGTAATAGAAGACAATTGAAAAATTTTGATCAAAGAAGCACTGATCCATGTTGTAGTTCAGAAATTAGCCAGGAAGGGTACATAGACTGAATTAGATACGGAAGAAACTGGTGGCAAAGACAATAGAAAGTTAGAACACGTGTCCAGAAAGCGTAGGGTGGGAGTACAATGAAGGCCTTAACTAGGCTAGTGCTCATGGAACTGAAGAAGAGCTGATTGGGACATTAAATAATGAGTTTAGCTAGAGTGTAGTCAGGGCAGCTTGATTCTAGGCTACCACAGACAGGTGTTAAGTTGAGTTGCTGACCACAAAGGTAAGTTAGTGTCCATGCCCCTGAGGACACCACTTCCTGTGGACAATCTTTTTCTCTGCCTGTGGTTGCCTAACATGTTCAGTAGGCTTACAAACTGCTACTACATCCTCACCCAGAAATTTGGACATAAATTATAGCAACATAATTCATTTATTTTTAAGATATAAGTCCCTTGAAAAAATTAAAATGCAGTCTGCTAAAATCTTGTCTGTGAGGGCATCAGGCCCAAAACACAGATTGGGCGCTGTCTGCCGTATTATATAGGGCAAGCTATTTTTAAAGCTTGTGATTGTTACCGTAACTAGGAAACAGACAGGAAATGAATGATTTTGTGAAAGATATAGATAGTAGCTAGATGGTGTATTTGCATTTGTAGGAAGAACAGTGCCACGCTGGTATTGACCACCCACAATGTCAAGGCCACTCTGGCGCTTAGCCAGGCCATAGACATCTGCTGGTCTTACTTGTGGACCATTTCATTTACGTCAGCAAAAATGCTTGTCCTTTTTCCCTCCCTAGTAGCTCGCTCTTTGGGGCCCATAAATAAATGCACACACACACAAAAAAACTGTCAGAGATACATTTCCTTTGTTCATATTGCTTCATATGCATTTACTGCTATAACACCCGTTTGTTGTCTTCTGGTTGATGCTTCATAACTGCATGTATTGCTCATTCATTTCTACTCTCGGTTTATGGCAGGTATTGAGCATCTCAGAGATTTCACCTTTCTTTCCCTCCGAAAGTCCTCAACTAAAACTGTCAGTGAAATATTTTAGGGAGTATGTGTTTAAATGTTGGTTTGGGGTTTCTTCAAAAAATAGCACCTTTCTGAGATAGTCATTCAACTCTGAGCAGTAAGTGAGACCCACAGGTGACAAAGGAGACAGATGCACAAACCCTATAGCATCAGTCTTTCTTCTTTTGAGAGGTTCTTTGGGAATTATGAATTTTTTGTACACACGCACATTTCAGTCACTTAACATTTTATGAGAGATTATAATAAATAGATTTTCTAAGTTCCCACCTGCATAGCTGGATAGATAGCAGAAGGGAACTAACTGTGAGGCTAAACTGAAAATGCACATGTAGTAAAGGTGTTCCATGTTTATTTACATTTTTAATAAGGTGTTACATTTCTATCATAATTTTCTTATGATAGAAGTAGTACAGCACATGAGAGAAGGCCTGAAAAGGATATACATCAAACTCTTAATAGTGTTGACCTCTGAGGCTTTGTAAAGGGAGGAGATTGCACTTTTACTTCTGAATTTGAGTTTTTGAATTTAAATTGGTAAAACCAATCAGAATCATGCATGGAAAATTCAGAGAGGGGTAAAGAAAAAACTAATTTATCCGTAATCTCACTACCCCATAAATAAACATATTTTGACACATTTTCTGAGAGTGAATTATAGATAGATGGCCAAGTGAATGGGTAGTTGAGTGTGGGGTGGATCAGGGAGTAGGTAAAACAAAATTATATTCTATTATATGTCATTTTGTATCTTGATTTACATAATATAACATCATGAGCATTTTTCTCAGATCAGAAAATCTTTGATAACATGAGTTATATTTAATAACTGCCTAAGATATTGTATTAGATGTACCCTTATTTAACTACGTACTCTCCTATTAAGTACATCGGGCACTTAAGTTTGTTTGCATCCTCATCTATGCTTCAGGTGAGTGCTCTTGTATCTAAATCTTTGACTATACTTCTGATGATCTTCAGAGAAATTTTTAGAACTTGGGTTATCCAGTTCTTTCCTTCCTCTCCTGGTTGTTTAATTTGCCTCAAGATGGTAAAAATGCTTTAAAAGAAAATGTTATAGTTGTATTGTCATGCTTTAAAATGTTACATTGTTATAAAGCATTTTATTTTGTCAAGAAATAATAACAGTAGATATAATATATTGAGTACCTCAGGTACTGTGCTATTTTATATATGTTATTTTAGTTAATCCTCCCAAACAACTTTACTTCCATTTTACAAATGAAAAATTGAACTTTATAGAAGTTAAGCAACTTGCTAATAAGTGATAGAGCTGAGTTTTGGGCCTACAGCACTTCCTCATTACATGCCAAATTTGCTAGGCACTTAGGATACAAATTAAATAAGACACATTCCCAGCCTCCAAATTCAACTGGCTAGTATAGTGTATTGGTCTCCTGGGGCTGCCATAACAAACTACTGCAGGCGGGTGGCTTAAAAAACAAACGTATTTTCTCACAACTCTGGAGGCTAGAAGTCCAAAATCAAGGTGCTGGCCAATTGGATTTCTGGCGCGTGCTCTCCTCGCTTGCAGAGGGCTACATTCTCGTTGTGTCCTTTCATGGCCTTTCCGCTGTGCTCACATGGAGAGAGAGCTTTCTTGGGTCTCTTCTTATAAAGACACTAGGCCTGCTGGGTCAAGGCGCCAACTGTATGACCTTATGGAACTATACTTACATGGAGGCGTCATCTCCACACACAGCCACACTCAGGGTTAAGGGGAGACAGACATTCAGTCTGGAATTAACAGTCTCCTGTGCTACAGGCTTGTGTTTGTGGTAGGCTCAGGGGTATGATATCAGTGGTAGTCTTTCAGAGTCTGACTCCTACATGTATATGAGGTCTCTTACTAGGAGTGAAGTCATCACTTGAACTTTAAAGACAAAAGCAGTATATTAGAAAATATCCATCTCATCTATGTTATATTTGAATTCCTGAAATTTATAGTTAGCCTAGATTATTTCCTAGAGCAAAAGATCTTGTTTCTAGCAGCCTAGGTAGATCAGTCCAATATTTTGGTCACAGTATCCCAGAGCTGAATTTAGGCCCTTGTTACATCAAGTCCCCAGGTAGTAAATTGCCAGGCAAGGATGGCATGATTATCACCTGTTTCAGGAAATGAACATATAGCTGCAGGCATTCACACCTGTGAGCAGGCAGGCCCCACTGTGCTTTCTGATGTAATCATCAAACGTAATCTGAAAAGCAAGCATTGTTTTCTGCCTGTTCCAGGATGAAATTGAATTCAGCAAACATTTTTTTAATAAAAGACATAATTCCTCTTGGAGTCTAGATGAGGAAATAAATTTATAAGCAGACAATTTGAGTGGTAAAATTATAAATTTAGAGGGATTGAAAGGGTTTTTGAGCTCTCAGAAAAAAGGTAATTTTCCTCTATTAAGGAAATAAAGGATCTGGTTGTAAGACTATACTGGAAGAAATATCTAATAAAATTTTGACAGAGGCTGTAAGTGTAAAGATAGATAATTACTTAATAACAGTCTTTTCTCTGTTGCTTTATTCATTTCTGAATCATCCTTGGCTAGTCTTAGAAAACTGTGTTAGTAGACAGTGAAGGAACCTAGAGACATGAATGTAAGTTCCCAAACAGCCGGCCATTCTTTGCTACAAGAAAACTATTACGTGTAGTCAAAAAAAAAGAAAACTTATCTGGAGAAGGGCCAAGGGGAGAATAAGAGTTGCTGGCCAGATTTCAGAGTTTTTGTTTTCTGGTGCCATGGAGAAAATTGGGCTTAGTCTGGTAAGAAAGCATTTGCCTTCTTCCTTTTAAATGACCACTCCTCACTTTAAAACCCTGTAATGCATTAGCCACCCTATCCAAGTAATGGCTACAGCCCCAGAACAGTTTTTATGGAACAATCGTCCCCTCCCCCAAGCAAACAAAGATCTGAGTCACCCAAGTCTCCCTCTCCAAATAAAGGGCCTTGCAGTGCCTTCAGATTGGTGGCCATAAGAGGAAAGTTTCCTGTGTCTGGCACAGGGATGTCCCACGTCACCTCTCACACACATGAGCTTTGCCTGCTTCCAAAAGAAACAATAGCTCTAACCAGTGTATTCCAGGTGAAAGTACTACATAGAACTCAGCATCTTATGACTGGCTGTTCCTGAGCAGCTATTCATAGGAGAAAACAGATGATTTCCACAGGGGAATAGTTAAGGTAATGAGGTAAATAATTGCCTCCTCATTGGGGCTTTTACCAGCCAGAAGAACACGTAACCACAGCTCCCCATTGTCTGCTGTTTCTGCTGCCATTAGGTGGTTTGCTTGGCTACGTACTGCCTAGGAAGTCAGAGTTCTTACTCAGGAGCTGTGCTGAGCTCATCCCTATGGGATAGGAACTATAGATATTGTGTATGTTGCTGGAGGAGAGATGGTTCAGTGCGCTGGTGCTCATTAACCTCTGCTGGTATTTGGGGCCTGTGAGTCATTTGTTATTCTATAATAGAAGGCTTTGGCTGTTAGCCATTTGAATTTTTTTTCAATCCTTTTTGTGGTATCAGTCTGTATTTTTTTCCATTCTTCAGGCACATAACCATTTAAAGACAAAATCAAATGGGCAGGTACTGAAATTATAAATATAAAAGTATGTCTAGAACGCTCCAGTGTGTTTTGTGTTAGAATTAAAAGATTGCTGGTGACTACTCATTTTCTTAGCTATGAGCCATGAAGGGGTTTTGTTTTGTTTTTTTTTAATCTCATCTTCCCCCTCTTCATTTCCCTTATTTAAAAAAAATAACTGGTAGGCCTCAACCTAATATACCCCTATTCATCTGGAAACCACTAAAAAGAATTTTGTTTATTGTAATAACGATGACTCAGAGAAACCTGGGAGGCAGTGCCAGTTTGGGTCATAATGGGCTTCTGTCTCTGTAAGTGCTGCGTTGACTTGCCTTGACTTCTGATCTACATGTTGTCATTAGTAACAAACAAGTACATTTTTAATATTTTACTTAATTTCTGATTTGCTACAAGTATTGACATTTTTTACTTTCTGGATTTTTCCATTGTGTCAGCAGAACAGCAACTGATAGTTTTCTCTCACACACCCTCTCACACTGACATTTAGGTAAATGGCTGTCTGCTGGACCCTGTGCCTCCTGTCCTGGCGAGGAAGGGATGCCAGTCACTGCCCAGCAACATGATGGAGACCTCCATCGATGAAGGGTTGGAGGCAGAAGGAGAGGCTGAGGAAGACCCCAGTCAAGCCTTTGATGCATTCCAGTCCACACGCAGTGGGCAGAGGCGGCACACTCTGTCAGAAGTGACCAATCAGCTGGTCATGATGCCTGGTTCAGGTACGATATCCAGTAAGCTCCAGGTTAAGTCTTCACAGCAGCAACTCATACTCCAGTCTCCAAGAAATTGTAATGATACCAGCCAATTCCTAGAATGTAGTCTATGTCTTTTTCCTCGTGGCCCACATTGAGCTGAGGTATTAGGTTGCTCAGCAGCTGCAAAGATTTAAATGAAACGTCTCTGAGTTGGTTTCCGTAACTCCCAGAATTCATCTGAGTGCTGTGTGATTCATCAAGGACCCTGGCTTTTTTGGAGTAGCAAGGATCTGATGGGTACAGGTTCTGGTACATGTTCCCACTAAATTGCGAAGTTGATTAAATTGACATGTTAAAAGGTTCTCAAGAGATGTTTTTGTTGGAGATTAAGGATGTTGTAGCTGTGAGAACTCAAGCTGCCTACACTTTGTATCTCATGTTCAAAGAAGATGTCATTTGCTGTTGGTCATATCTATTTTGTTTTCTCTTAAAGGGAAAATTTTCTCCATGAGTGACAACCCCTCCCTTGACAGTGTGGACTCTGAGTATGATATGGGGTCTGTTCAGAGGGACCTGAACTTTCTGGAGGACAACCCTTCCCTTAAGGACATCATGTTAGCCAACCAGCCCTCACCTCGCATGACATCTCCCTTCATAAGCCTGAGACCTGCCAACCCAGCCATGCAGGCGCTGAGTTCCCAGAAACGAGAGGCCCACAATAGGTCACCAGTGAGCTTCAGAGAGGGCCGCAGGGCATCAGATACCTCCCTCACCCAAGGTGACTGCTATTAAAACCCTTATCCGGTAGGACTTGGGGTGGTGGGGAGGGGGCGGATTGCCATGTCGATATCTTACTTGTGGTCAGCGAAAGGCCTGTGTCTTCTTAAAACTGATTGGCCACTGCGCTTTCTTCTAGGAATTGTGGCTTTTAGACAGCATCTTCAGAATCTGGCTAGAACCAAAGGAATCCTAGAGTTGAACAAAGTGCAGTTGCTGTATGAACAAATGGGGCCAGAGGCAGACCCTAACTTGGCATCAGCTGCTCCTCAGCTCCAAGACCTTGCTAGTAGTTGCCCTCAGGTGAGTGCTCTGGGCCCTTCCCACGGTGGCTCTGTGAGAATGAGCCTTGAGCTTGTCCTGAAGATGTGTCATTTCATTTAGAGGATGTACTCCAGTCCTGGAGCAAACAGGTTCTTTTGGAAAGTTTTCCTTGTTGCCGCCACCTGCTGCTGAAAGGTCAGACCTGCCCACGCTGGCCCCAGGTGATCGGCGCCATGTGGAGGCCTAGACACGCTCAAGCTATGTTCGCTTCACGGAGCAGATTTTCTATGAATTATTCCTATAGTCTCCTTTGAACTTCCCCCCGTGCACGCACACAAAAATTAATAATAAACTTAACCCAAATGAGAAGCTTGTCGCCACTACTTTTAATGGATTATTTATGCTAAGGATGTAAAAAAAAATTTGTCGATAAATTTTATTTTGAGCTTATTTTTAGTGCATCAGGGATATCATCGCATTCAAGGCCCACATTAAGCTTCTGGGTGACAGAGCCTTTGCTTTAGCAGTGGCTCGGTAATCGTTTACTGCAGATAATACATGTATAGATTTTCTGCAAAATGATTAACCCTCAGCCTACTAGTTACATAAAAAGCTTCGAGTGTTATGTCCTGCAGAGTTGGAGTTCCTCTTGGACATTTGCCAAGGTGCTTAAACTAAGAACTGAAACTCTCTCCCACATGGAGAATTGAAAATGTCTTCACCCCTTTGGTCCTCAGGAGGAAGTTTCGCAGCAGCAGAAAAGCGTCCCTGCGCTCCCCAGCAGTGTGCATCCTCAGCTGTCCCAGCGGCAAAGCCTGGAAGCCCAGTACCTCCAGCACAGGCTCCAGGTGGGACCCTGCCCACTGTGGCTCCAGCTCACTCTGCTCGTCCAGAATCCGCCTTTCTGCACAGCAGAAACCTCTTTTGCTTGGTTTTGGAAAGCCGCTCATTTGTTTAGGGTAGCTGCTTGAGTCCTTATAGGCAGGTAGAATTGACTGTGCACTCCTGATTTCTGAAAACATGTTTGGCCTTAGCGTTCCGCTCTGTGTTGGCAGTGGAAGAGGATTTGTCGTCAGGTCCCAGGAAAGGATACCACCACTGAATAGCAGGAAGAGTAAACCTGCCTCCTTTGCTTCTGATGTTATGCCTCACAATGAATAATAAATGAAATTGAAATCTCTAGTCCGCAAGATTTTAATATCAGTGCTCTCTCTACGTTGGTGCCTGAAAATCTTTAAAAAATTGATATGACATAGAGCCCGTAAAGAGTGGATCATTTGTTGATGCAGCCTTCATTATCAAGATTTAACACTTTTCTCATTGTTTGCAGTCCCCATGAACCTCACAGCCTTAGGGGACTTTTAGAAATGGAAAACTGAAGTGGACTAGAGCTGAGGCAGCCCTGGCCTGCTGACCCCATGCTCTTGGGCCCCAAGGCTCTACCAGGGTCTCAGTGAGCAAGTGTCAGTTACTTCACCCTGCAGGGATTCTGGAGGACACACTCGGCTTTATCCTCCAGGCAGAGATACAGTCTGATGACTGAATCCTTGATGACAACACAACGTCATGTTTATATTGTTTTTCTGCTCTTCTAGAAGCCCAGCCTTCTGTCGAAAGCCCAGAACACCTGTCCACTGTATTGTAAAGAACCACCGCGGAGCCTTGAACAGCAGCTGCAGGAACACAGGTGAGAGAGGGTCTTTGGCCAAAGAAGTTACTTTCTTTTGTGGAAGACTCAAGAATGCTGAGTGTGTTGCCCCTTCCTCCTGGTGTTTGCCTCTACTAGGAAAAGAAGTTTTTGACGCATGAGCCAGTCTTCAAGATGTGATCACTAATGCAGATATTCCATGTCCGTGGAACATGGACCTGTCAGGGAATAGCAGCCCTAAATGTACTTTGTTTACTTTTTGTTATTTCATTTCCCCTTTGAGTTATGAGTAGACCTAAGCTTTCGGAATCCGTGACCCAATGCAGTTGAAGTGGGTTATACCGCAGGAAAGGCCTCTATCCTCCCTTGCAGTAATCTATGTCCCCAGGGCTCCCTAGAAGCAGCGTGGCCAAGGTAGAATTACCCAGATGCATCAACCGACAGACACCTGTAGAGGCCAAGATGTTAACCCAGCCCCGCTTCAAAACACTAGATAATAAATCAGCCTCTTGCTTCACAGGGAGAAAAACTTAAGAGTCTTAGAGAAAATGAGTTATTTGTTCACTTTAGCACTGACGGATCAGTCAGAACTGGGGGATGAAAAAATATGATTAGGTTTATGAAAGCAGATACAGTTTATTCCTACCCCACTTTTATTTCTGCCATGGAAAGAGAGAAGTAAGAGGACCGAAGCTAATGACTGATACTGGATTTACGTTCAAATTGCCATCACTGAAGAAGATTTAAAATTCTTTCTTTTGGTTTTGCCGATTTAGACTCCAACAGAAGCGACTCTTCCTCCAGAAGCAGTCTCAGCTGCAGGCATATTTTAATCAGATGCAGATAGCAGAGAGCTCGTACCCACAGCCGAGTCAGCAGCTGCCCCTTTCCCACCAGGAGACACCGCCGCCATCACAGCAGCCACCGCCATTCAGCCTGACCCAGCCCCTGAGCCCCGTCTTGGAGCCTACTTCTGAGCAAATGCAATACAGCCCCTTCCTCAGCCAGTACCAGGAGATGCAGCTGCAGTCCCTGCCCTCCTCGCCAGGCCCCCAGGCCCACCTACAGCAGCAGCAGCCGCCGCCACCACCGCCGCCGCCGCCACCACCACAGCAGTCGGGAGCTGCCCCAGCGTCCTTACAGTTCTCCTATCAGACTTGTGAGCTGCCAGGCACTGCCTCCCCTGAGCCAGACTATCCCGCTCCCTGTCAGTATCCCATGGACGGAGCCCAGCAGAGTGGCATAGCAGCGCCGGACTGTCCCAGGAGCTCGGGACTGCAGGAGGCCCCCTCCAGCTACGACCCTCTAGCCCTCTCTGAGTTCCCTGGACTCTTCGATTGTGAAATGCTGGAGGCTGTGGACCCACAGCACAGTGGCTATGTCCTGGTGAATTAACTTCAGCACAGGAAGTGAGGGTG